CTACTAATTCAATTTTATAAAAATTTAAGTGTCTACTTGTGTATATCTAAAATTAAAAGGCATAGTTATCAACTGAAGCTGAGTTAAAGGTCATGCTCGTATATAATGCTTATGAAATTCACCTCATGTCCGTCTTGCCAAGTTGTTTTTTTTCTTTTTTTTCCTTTTGGTGTCCGACAGTCCAGTCCACCTATTGAGTTTTGACTAAATTGAATTCATTCTTGGGCTTCTTACCTAAATGTACGGACAAAACATAAAAATTTAAAAACAATGGTAATTTATCAAAATTTTACTTGCTTAGGAGCTAATTACTTATATTTTATAACTACATGATTACACCAAATAAGTCGTTATGCAAAATGAGATTTTTCGTCGTTATCTAACTACGGATTTAAACTATACGATATGATAAACTTAAGTAACAATCAAAACAAATATTGTATTTAAACTAACAATACAATAAAATGGGTAACAACCATCCAAATAATGTGTTAGATACACTCTAGTTTTCAATATTACAAATCTTGTCATATTTTGGTGCGTCTACATATATACATGTATCTCGGGATATATAAAGTTAAAATTAGGTATAATTTGTTTTAGATAAGTGGACTCGCATGTGTCTGGGATACATAGACAAATTTCGCTCGCCTCAATTCAGCTCCCATCTCGCTCACTACTCTCCTATCTCGCTCGCGTATCTGGTATCTCAAATACATGTATTTGCGATACACAGACAAATCTTGTTCGCCTCTCTCCTGTTCTTGCTCATTTCTCTCCCTATTTCAGTATATCTAGTAGCAAAAAATATGTAACTAGCTAGGTGTATCTGACTTGAAATCTGTCATAAAATTATTAATTAGTGATATAAAATGTAATTATTTCAAACTATAGAAAATATTAATAAATATGATAGGCATATTTGTGTAATTGGGTAGTTTTTTTTTTTTTTAAAATCAAGAAAAGCTTGCATAATGTATCGATATTGTATAACCAAGTCTATATGATGTATAACTATGTATCAGAAGAGATGTACATACATTTATATATGCTATTTATACAATATTTATACATTACAAAAGTTCATCTTGTGGTCTCTCATGTGCCCAAATAAATAGGAATCACATGAATATGATTTTTTATGGTAAAAAATACCTAATCGGTTTGAAAAATATTCTAATCCCTAAAACATGTGGCTATATAAAGGATTTTGTTCCATAAGAATGGTGACTATTTTTTTATGAAAAATTCGCCCACATGAATTTTACATATTCCGGTGATGATTTTACTGTTAGGCTACAAAATTAGTAGTAATTCATTGAGATCGAAGGTTATTAATATCATTGATGAGTTTCTCTCACACTTCGCAATTAAATATGTCTACACGTTGTTTGGATGATTGTTACGTATTGTTTCATAATATATCGTATTGTATTGTATCATATTGTATTGTTTTAACGAATACAATGTTTGGATAGATTGTACATAAGGTCACATATCCATAAATTGAATGATAAACCTACAAGAAAAGTAGGTTATGGGTAGAGCTACTATGAAAAGATAAGGGAAAAGATGAAATATAATTATTAAATAATAAAGAAAGATAAAATGAGAAGAAAATATTAAGGTAACGATGCGATCACACCAAATCGGTCGTTACATAAAAAGGGTCGTTGTTATCTAACGATGAATTTAAAGTTTAAACGATACGATACAATAGAATTTAAGTAACAATCAAAAGAAACATTGTATTTAAACGAGCAATATAATAATAACCATCCAAACAAGGTGTTTATGTATATATTTCATGCAGCTTGCAAGTATGATCATATAACCATTTGCTTTGTTGTTTATGTTTGTATTCAAACAAAGATTACGATGGAAAATGTTAGTCAATGTCTCAACTTTGATGAACAGGCTATCTAGTTCAATGATTTTTGGCTGTAACAAATTGTATAATCAATTAGACAGAGTGCTAGCAAATTACTATTAAAAAGAAAAAAAGAAATACTACTATTATTAACCTTAAAAGGTTATTAATAAAATTAAATGAAATCATCAACAAAATAAAGTACTTTAAAAATAAAATAAAATAGGATGGCTATGAAGTTTGACGAATTCAAAGTGTTAGAGGAAAGAAAAAGAAATTAAGTCATTATCAGGAAAAGTGTATTAGTGTTTAGGAAAATGATGACCTTACTGCCTTTGTCTATAATATATAGTATGATATATATTTTTATTAGTATTATTACTATTTCTTTAACCAATGGAGAACATAGCAATGTACAGGGAAATAATAGACGAAGTTATCTCACTATATATATAATACTAGTTTATTTCATTATTGTAATATGAATAATGAAATAAATAATTTTAAAACTAACTATTACGTCAAATCAAACATAAAATAAAAATAATCTTATAGTATTTTATTTTACAATTATTATTCCTTATCTTTAGACCAAACTCCAATAATACTAATGTTTTGGTCAACATCAAGCATTTTGGAAATTATTTAATTGTACTATTCCTCTGCTTCTTGCGGTCAAAAAAAGTTGTTTCTTGTCACTATTCATTACATTAGATTATGTGAACGGCAAATCTCCGAATATTAAGGGAAAATTTGGAAATGATAGACTAAGGAACCGTTTGAACGTAATTTTTTTTTTTATTTTAATAAAAAAATAAAATGATAAGCTCCACAGAAGATGTATGATTTTTTTTTACACAATTAGTGAATTTTAAAAAGTATAATACTTAGTAATTAGTTATCATTTTTATCAATTGGTCAAATACTGCATTGGAGTATATCAATATATTTGCCTACAGTTAAATAACGTATATATATATATAACATGTAATTTTTCATAGCAAAATTACTATGATAACTTAAAAAATAGAATAACAATGTAACATGTTATATCTCGTAGCAAAATTAATAATTTAATATGTTATATCTTTCAATTAAATACAAGTTATATTTCTCATTTCTCTATTGTCTCTGTCCTTTATCTCTCCTCTTTGTTTTTTTAGAATAACAAAGCAATATTTAGAAGAAATATGAGTTAAAAAAATTTCATATTAATTTTAAGGCTCTTACTCTCCTTTAAAACAGTATAGAGAAACGCATATCTTGATACTACTTAATTGTTTTCTTTTTGTTGTTCAATTTGACACTCAAAAAAAATAATACAATCTGCTTATTAAGACTGAAAAAAATTATTTCTTATACGAATTGGCCAAATACAAACTATTTTTCTTCATAAATATTTTAAAAAGTTATTTTTTATTTTTTATTTTTAAAAAAATACTTCTCATGAAAAAAGATATTTTGATAACTTGACCAAATAACTAAAGTTTGAAACGCATATATGATATGATTACAATAATGTGTGAGCGCAACATATTAATAAAAAATACTTTACTTTCCTGCTATTTCCTATTTTCCTTGTCATGTAATGCAAGGTATCTTTCAGCCCTTTACATTCTAATAGCCAATAGATATATTCGAAATTCTCCTTATCAAATTTTCTAACTCGGTATTCGGTAAGGATATTGAAACCTGATTAAATTTGAATTCATGTAAAAACCCATTTTGATCTTACGAGGGAGATACTCTTAACAATACTTTTTCATTTTTACAGGCTCAATCAAACTCGAGACTTCTAGTTAAAAATAAACGAAGGGCCTCAACCATCCCACTATAATTCGTATATATACATCGGTACCTTTTGACATATGATTCGGTATCAAGGATTTTGTCATTTAGGTCTTTTTATATCGTGAATAATTGTCTTTACTCAGATATCATCAAGATAAGGAAGAAACTTCCTCTGCTACCTACACCTATTATTATTTTTATATATGCATAGGTTCAAACTATAATTAATACAAATTGAAATCATAATGACATAACAAGATCTGTATTTGATTTGAAGGTAGCCGAATAGGAAATAATACTCCTAAAACAAATATTCACAGAATTGAAGTGTTACCTAATTTTAAGGAGAGCATGAAAATAGTTACATGTTGAAAGTTAAAGAACCTTAATCAAAGTGAATTAAAAAAAAAGATTTAATTTAATGGATTCTAGCTTTAAGATTCTTGCTAAGAAGATCATTGCACATTTAAAATTATGATTTATGATGGTTGAAATTTTGCTTGTTTTGATTCGGTATTAAAATTGTTGGGTTGAATTGAACCTATTAATTAATCAAGGTTGCATCCTCATTTAAAATAGTGATTTTACCTGGATACATAGTGTTATGTTATGATAAAGAGGTGTTGATCGGCACCCCGAGTATATGTGGCTCCACCATTAATCATTATAGTCAATCACTACAATTAGTGATGATGGTTGTCAAAAAAAATCACTACAATTAGTGATGACTATCAACCACATCCATCTCGACAAATTATTATCACAAATGCTAACTACCACCATGACCATGACCACGACTACGATCTCTATCAATCATGACCATCACTACCTCAACCACTATCACCGATCACAACCGCCACAGCTGCAAACTTTTACCAATACCACTATCACTTTTTACTACCGTCAGATGCTCTCATCAATCATCTTTAACATCACAATCATTATTGTCAACTATTACCACCAATCATCTTCACCAACACAATCATCTATTGCACAACCACTATCAGAAAAAACTTGTGGAAAATTGGAAACAACACAACGTAACAAGTTTGCGAGTGAAACCCAAAACTTCAAATCCACTAATACTTATCAAATAAGACTCCTATGAAGGATTCAGTGTCTAGGAGCATCACCACTGACATTAATTCAAACGTCAGTACGACCATTTGCTGGATGATCTCTAGTAAACCTGTTAATAGTTAGAGCAATAGTACTAATTATACAAATTAAATAACTAACAAGAAAGAAAGAAATTTATATGACTTGTGTTTCCAATTAAGCGTAAAAAAATAAAAATAAAAAGTACAAGGATTGTACGTACGTATGAAGAAGAATACAAGAGTGATATTGGTTCGGCTCATCTCTAATCTGTTTCATGAATCAGAAATTAGTGAGCCGAACCAATATCACACCATGTCTACTTCTCCATCACTTAATTATTTATTTGTTGCTCTGGATATGGTCGTCGCTGCGATGCCTCTCTTTATATGCATGCAAAGGAATCTGACGCTACTGTAGAAGATATATATATATATATATATATTTATGGTTCACGGGTTCCTGCAAACAAATTAGTAATAAGCTGTTAAAACATACCAAAGGACATTTTTATTACTACTTCTTGCCAAAAAAAGGTGTTAAAAGATAAGAAGAAAGGATTAATTATACCATATATAGATCTACGTATAGCTAGCCAGGGAACAATATATATTATCTTGATCAAGATCTAGGAATCCACTAATCACTAATAATGTGTTTTTTTTATTTGATATTTGATACTCACGTTAAAATTTGATTATTTTAAATTCGTGTCGCGTATAATTCGAAAAAGCGCTATCTTTTTTTACCTAGGGCTCAAACATGAAACCTTTAATTAAAGAAGGAGAAGCGCTCTCTGTCAAATATTTTTTTATACCTAGGGCTCAAACACGAGACCTTTGATTAAATGAGGATTAGTCTCGTATCCTTAGTTGTCACTAATAATACGTTTTATTATTTATAATATGACACGTGATTCATTGTCTGTGTGCCTCCTATATTAATTAGATTAGATGTGGTCAACTTTGTAAAGTAACACTGTCAGTGGAGAAATTTTTTAAGGTTTAGGAAACATTTACCTAAACTTGCAAGCATCATAACTTTATATGATCTAATTATCCATATATAATATATAGTGCTTTTATGTCTGCATACAGCTGCGCTAACACTATTCCAATGATCCACTTTATTATTTATAATAATATAAAATATATAGTAATAAAATATACATAAAAGGGAATATCTAGTGGAAATCTAAAGCACCAAATATGAGGGAAACAAACAGATCTTCACTGGTTTATTTATGTCTCCTTTTCTTTTCTGTATGATAATTTAATTTAATTCACACAAAGTTAAACTATATATATAGTACACTATATTATACTTATGCAAATTGCTAGATGATTTGATAGTGGTCTCATGTCATGTCAATACCGATAAAAAGGACTTCAAATTGGACCCTAAAAGAAACTCAAAAGTTTCATAGATTTTTTATTGTGTAATCTTTTATCACAGTATGACAATTTATTTGAAATGGATTTCAATAATATTTGCATCATAATCATAAAAATAACTATCATAGTAATTTGATTTGCTATATGAATATGACAGATTATCTATAGTACTACTAATTTGCAGGTTAGATCTTGTTAGATTGCGATTCTTGGTCAATCATCACTTTAATTATGAGCTATCCATTGAGAGTAATTAGTCTACTTGGCTTCATTTGTCAGTTGAACTCTTCTACTCATCATTTTATCAAATGAACTTTTAAACTCGATGAAATTCTATTTTCTAAACCCCTCTTACCATTGACTGAGTTTATGTGACATTAAAATGATTGAGTTGGACAAATGTATGACCACACGCATTTTAAAGCAAGTGAATGCAATATTTTTATTTAAAAATTATCAAAATTATAAGACAAAATAATTAAAAAAAATAAAAAATCTCGAAACCTTTCTTCTTCAGCCCACCGCACCCCCACCCTATCCTTTTTCCTCTTCTTCTTCAGACCCAGACCCCCCCACCCCCACTCCCCACCCCCACTCCGCCCCTACCCCTTCTCTATTCTTCTTCTTTGTCGTACACTCCATCACCATAATCATCAAATATAAAAGTTTTAAAAAAAGCTTTTGCAAGAAAACATAACATTTTTCATAAATTTAAGATCTATTGCTTGAATTTACTCATAAATATATTTTTCTCAACTTGAAGTTTTCTTGATTTTTCTTTATCAAATCAAAATAAATAGAACCTAAAGCATGTGCAAGAGCTAATTACAATCTATCATATTTTATGATTGAGAAATTTTTTTGAGTGTGAACTGTGAAGAAAGATGAAAATGATGAGTTTTTTTTTATTTTTGGGGTGAGACGTAGAGGGTGAGTGGCAGGAAGGGGGAAGAGAGAGAGAGAAAATTGCACTTTTTATTTTTTAATATTATTTATTTTTAAAATTTAATTTCTGATGTGTCATTGGAAAAATAATAATAATGATGACGTATCATTAAAAATGACGTGATATTTCATGTGTAAAATAAGTGTATTACACACACATATCAAATGAGAAAGAGGTTTAAAATATTATGTTCATTTGATAAAGTCATAAGTATAAGGGTCCAACTTACCAGTTCACGCTCCAAAATATCTAGTCCTGACATGCTGGCGCGCATCAATGGTTGCTGAGGCCCCATATTGACAAAGATCTAATGCCAATTTTCTTGTCAAATATATGCATATACTAACTTACTAGAAAATATTACCTGTAATAAGTTTTCAAATTCAACTTTTAAGTGCATAAAAAATCAATTCATTTTAATATCTTTATCTATACACCATATGCCTTTTTTAGTCGTAAGCAAAAAAAGAAGATCTATCGTACCCCTATAAATAATATAGTAATGATATATATATATATATATATATAATAAGACTCCATAATAACATAATCTAAAGGGAAAAGAATCCATCCAACCTGCTTGTCAATTACTTGGCTGTCAAACGAATCATATGCATACAGCTGGTCACTAATTAGGGATAATTAATTAAAGGTAGTCTATGTGATTTGATTAGCCGCCAGATCACTGTACATGTCAAGGTGAGGTGTCTAGTAAAGATTTTATTTTTTTTAATTTTGTAGTTTTAAATTAGAATATATACTAATCTATCAAAAATATTCATGTTATTTTATACATGTCATGTGGAATAATTAAAGTGTTGTTAAATAAGAAATATGTGTTTTTAAAAAAATTAAAAAGAAAAATAAATTAAAATAGAAAAAGTAATAGTATATTTAAGCTTCTTAATCTTTTTCTGTCCACTTTTGCCCTGCATCACGAAGCCCTAACTTTTCTGATTGGCCACCATCAGGAGTGTTTATAGGTTAAAAATAGGATACGTGAATTCGTCATTTTCTTAATTGTAAATATTTTATGCCTATATTTTTTAAAAATTGATATAATATTATTTGATAGTACTCATTTTTACACTTAATTAGATGTTGAGTTACTTATTTTGAGAGATCAATTCTCCTTACTATATTTTTCCTCCCTCTGTTATCACCTGCCACAAATATATATATTCAATAGGTAAATATTTTTTTTAGAATGAGTGTATCATTTAAAAGAAGAAAGAAAAATTAAGTGGTAAGTGATCTTTATTTTAAAGATAAATAACTCAGCACTAATCAATGTGATTCTTATGTAAATGTATTCCGTTGAAATAATAATAATAATAATTGCATGTATATGTAATGTACAATTTACAACAAATCATCCTCTTCAATGAGTTAATTCTTTTTCCGATTTCGATCGGCTTCAAATTTCCTCTGTTTAAAATTTTAGTAATCAAATCTTTTCAATATTTTAATTCTTTTGATATATTATTCTTCGAAATAATTTCAGTTTGTGGCAAGTTAAGTTTTAAAATTTGAATTTTAAAACTCTTTAATGATGAATTTCAGTGGACCTCAACTCAAATATTCTTCTAAACCAATACTCTTTAAATTTTAATTGCATATATAGTGTAATAATCTTTCCACTGTACCAATTGGTTCTGATAAGGACCTAAACTCCAATGCTAAACTATGAACATTGTCAACAACATTTAACCTCTTCTAATATGACTCAAAAAGGTTGTGGTATAGTAGTGGATTGCTTCTAAAATCGAAAGGGCTGTATCACATCGAAATGTCGATTTGTTTTCCGCCCCCAATGAGATGGGGAATTTTTCACCCCCTATTTAGACTTTTGGGCCCTTCATCTTTCTGAATCGAGACCCGGCCCGGCTCGCGTCGTTCCAACAACCGGCGGGGAGCACCTCAGTATACGAGCACAGTAACTGGGAGTCCTATTACACCTAAGGCCAACTTCAATTCACCAAACATCCTTAATTAGAGGTCTCGGATTTGAGTTCTGAATATGAAGAAAAAATTGTTGGGAGCCTCACCCCGAATGAGCCCCGTAGTGCATGATTCGAATTTAGTTGGAGCTCCACCCGACACCGAATGGGAAAAAAATAAAATAATAACTGATGGTGCTTCTTCCATAACCAAGCAAACCCCGTGGAAAGGCCTGACCTTTTAGTTCTTGAACAGTTGAACTTGAACTAGAGAAAAGAATTGAAAAAATAAATAAATTTATGACAAGATTGAAGATTTGGCTTGGTGGGTGTCGATGTAATCATCAAGAAAGAAGATGGATTTTCCAGAGGAGTGAAAAAGAATTGTGAACTTCACTGGTCGAACTGCCAAGTACAATAATAACTAATAACTAGACTATATATTGGATAAATTTTTTTGATTGAATTAAGTATTTTATCTAATTTTTTCTTAATTAAGTGCACCATTCAATCTTTGTGTTTGTGTGACATAAATATCAATAGATAACATTATTAAAATATAATATATATGAATTTCTGATTGTGCGGAAAGATCATAAGTTCATGTGCGTTATATTTTGCAGCCGGCTCTACGCATAGTAATAATAAGAAACTAAGCAAATACCTCATAAAAGCAAAATAATTACAAACATATACCTCTTTATATTCATACCCACTAAATAATTACACTATATACCCCAAACTATTTTCGCTTAAATGATACCAAATTAATATCATATTTTGTATTGATATCATAAGGCTGGTAATTTCGCTTAAATGATACTAAATCAGTATCATATATTATATTAGTATCATTAAAATTGATAATTTCACTTAATTGATAGTAAATCAGTATATATATACTGTATTGATATCATTAAGGTTTCTTGTTCATAAATTACTCATTAGTCAATGATGCTACTCATATAGTATCATTGACTAAAGAGTAATTTGTGAACGCGCGCACGGGCAAAATAAATATGACACGACAAT